CTGCAATACCTTTTCGGTGTCTGGCTGCTACAGCATGAGGGATGAGACAGTATCAGTTGGCCAAGCCTAAACAGGAGAAGACGAGATGCCTAGACCGGGTTCGAACAACGGACCTTCTGGTCAGTAAGTTCGCGTCCCAACTAACGAGCTACCTCGAATCCGACCTAGCCGTCTTACCATCTGACATTCGTTCTACCCCATATTTGCAGCGTTAATCTACCCAGATGAATCCTACCAGGCGACAAGGTCTGTTTAGAGTCAACAGTGCACAGTGCCAGCAGACCAAGTTACCTACTTATCGTACTGACTTATCTCATCGAGTGTTGTCTGCACCACCCGATATCCTCCAATAAGGCGATAGGCGAGTACCTTAAACAGAAACTGTCTCGTCTTAATTGGATCATACTAAGGCCTTCTTCTTTCATCGGACGAACACACAAGCGACACGTTTTATGCGGCATGCGAATCATTGGGGGGTAAAAATTCAAGTTGAACTGGTCTGAGTGCAACTATCGAAACCCGAATCCTGTCAAATACACCTTAAACTCGGCTGGAAACAACCGCAACCAGAATATCCCCATTAGACAGATGTGGTTAAAAAGTGGGTTGGTGACCAACAAAAGTAGTCTGCCTAAAAGTGTTCCAATTTTCTAGGTCGTTAGTGTAACCAACAGAGTGATTGTCGAAAGAATCCGAACTGCACTGATTAAGGAGATATCTGTTTGGTGGTGTCCTAATTAGCGATAAAAGTGCGCGTGCGTATACGACAGTGTGAGCCTCACGATCATTTGTGTGACATGAGCTGGCCGTATCGACCGTTTGTGGTACAAATATTTTTCGACTCGTGCACGTCACACTATGGACCTCGTCACGCGGGGTGGGACAGTGTGAACCATGACCAAGGGGCGGGTAAAACTGACCATGGACGATTGCTATCAAGAGAAAAGCGCCAAAGAAACGAAAATTCATTAGGTCACACGGCGATACCATGCCAACGTTTAAGTATTTAGGTGAATAAAATTCTTCGTTTCAGAGAGGTTTGGTAAGTAACCGGTAAATTTATTGTTTACCAAACCTCTCTGAAACGATGACTTCCCAATCGGTCCCAAACATTTTCCAATTGATTGAATAAAATTCTTCGTGTAGAACTAAACGACGTGTGTTGAACAGAATTCGGTAGTTAAGGATAAAATCAGCTCAGTTCATGCAATATGCTACTCCAAAGGTTGCGGAAAACGACCGGTTTAGTTCTTCTTGGGGCTCATCAGGTGGGCGCAATCCCGGATTTTCCGTCCACCTCATGTTCTGATCGAACCGAAATTGCACGAAATTCGACTTATACAGTGATCTACGTACCAACGAAAGAATCAGCTGGGTTTGATGTGAATTTCCCATCAAAACCAGATTGGTATGCAGATGAGTGTATCCATTCAGTTCAGTTTTTCATCTCACAAACCGTGCTTCGAGGTGCAGTGCTGTCGGCTGCCACGGTCTCGTCCACCAAGGATAAAGAGAATAAGGGAACGAAAGGCACAAGTTGGAGGTGGTCTAATCTGTGGATTGAAGCTGAATGGATCTGTCTGTCCAGTGTGGAAGGGAGGCCCACACAATGAAAGAGATAGCTTTGATGCCAAGCAAGTCATTAGTTGCACGGTGCAGCCATACCTGTCAAGGTCAGTAACCACTGGCGGGTGTCGCTCCTATCCGGATAGAAGGCAGTCACCAACGCCACAGAGCTGATCAGTAAGCACTTCCATAACTCGTTTGTACTTCATGGAACGACCGGCCCTTAGTGGTCTCCATCTGCGACAAGGCTGAGAAAAGAGGGCTCTACGAGGCAAACGGTTCTCTAGCACATGAAGTACATGGTCTAACTGGCTTATCTATCGAGAGAGAGAGAGAGGGAGTGAACTTTCCCGAAAGCTGTGCCTGATATGCCTCACCATTAGTGATCTGACCCAAGTACCGATGGTCAAATGCACAGAACCTTCGAAGGTCTTCCGCACACAGTAGCTGCGTTTCTGATACAAGAAGGACAGATTGGATCACGACACTACACTCTGTTCTCGACAGTCAAGCTAATGCCAAGTCAGCGCCACAAATGTTCGAGGTTGACAAGTGCTGTTGTGGCTTTCCCGAATCGGGAAGTGATTTTATTTTTCCCTGGTTGGCCGGTATTTATGTGGCTATCCAGGTAAATGAACTTACCTACTACAATCGGTTCAACTGCAACCATGAGGTTTCGGCTTGATCCCACCCAACCTTGCAGCAGCACTTCACGCCGTACAGGTGCGAAGCGCATCCCGAGCTGTGCAGCAGAATTGTTTAGGTTTAAAATAGTTTGCATTGGCATATGGTCTGATCCAAGAGAAGCAATATCGGATAGAAAAATAACCATAGACTTGTTGGCACTGAGCACCTAGAGTTGATAAAGTTCTAGGCAATGTTGCTTTACAGAAGGAACGCTTGCTCGAGGTTGTACATAAAGTTATGCCGTTGTGAAAGGATCACTCAACGTGGTTTCGCCGGAATGGGGACGATATTATAATCTGCTAGGGCAGAAGGACACATTCAACGGTTTGTCCAATTTCAGAGGAGAGGAAAGGCATTAGCGAATAGAAGGATAACAAAGACCCAGGTATTGGGTACCGAATGAGATCAAAGTTCGATTGCGCGTTTTTTAAAAGTGACGTGATAGAACGCGAACAAATAAGGCAAGATGGTTAAAGGGATGAAAACATTAGTTGGTCGAACAACTCACTAAAATATAGGAATCCAACTGGTCTAGCCACGGATCAATCAGAGTGGTATGTAGGCTATCCAGTTCCAAGCACCACTGAGCCACAGCCGGCAGTAGCCATTCCACACTTGTAACGAAGGTTGGTTGTTCGGCGTTCGTTGTTACACACGACGAATCAACCGGATGAGAAGTATTCCCGGGAACTCGGTTGAGACCGACGGCCGGTGATCGGTCGTGAAACAAAAGTCTTGTCAGTCGCTGAATCAGTTGCGGTAGTTTGTCGTAATCGGCCATGAGGCTCACGAGGCAAGCGAGAGAACGAACATTGGCTGCTCGAACAAGTTCGTTACGTTCTTCATCCAAGTTTGATTCCAAGATGCTTAGCATCAAGGAGGATTGGAGATGCGCCTTATTTGAAAAGTTTACAAGAGGGATGAGAGAGAGAGAAATATTAAGTTTCAGGCAATAAACCATCACTGACTCGGAACGGGCAGTCTAAAAGACCAAAATGGATGGTTCAGCCTCAAAATACACCCTTGCAGAGTAAAGCAACATTTCCTGATATGCCTGTAACACGGACAACAGACATACCAGCGAAAAATTCGATTCGTCGGACTACCGTGGGTCAACTACATTTCAAGAAAAAATGTGGATTGTGTGTCTACTGTTTTTTGCAAGAAAGGATCTGATGAAGAGACTTCAGATGGGCTGGACGTGTAAAAGCGGAAAGAAAAGGGGTTACCACGCGAGGAGAGGAAGAGCACTGTTCAGATGTGGATACTAGGTTGACAAGTCCTGTAATTCCTTGCAAAAAAATCAACGCCACGTGACCATCAAATTGCAAAAAGGCGTCCACTACACACAAATGTCACATTCCTCATAACGCGTTTAAATGTGGTACCTGATCCCTATAAAAGTATCAAAAGCAGGAGTGAGTAGGCAAAAGCAAAGTTGCGTAAGAACGACGGTACATCCCTAACCTGCAGTTCACTAAACACATCTGTGACCGATTCAGCTGACACAGGAGCGTGAGAGGATGGAGTAGACTTCAATTCAACGTCGTCTCGCCCAAAACAAATGTAAAACATTGAAACCCCTGTCCTCCTGGCAGTAACATACAGTCCCACGGTGAGAAAGTATTAGGATGACTGTTTCCAAGCTTAGAGTTACAGACCTTGTCGGACACGTTCAACAACCGTATACTCCGAAGGTTTCCGGTTCAGTAGTCCTCATCCATAAGGAGCGACCTTTGAGAGGGTTAAAAGTTCTTCTCACCCCTAGACAATGGTTACTCATAGATTTGTCCAGAAACGAAACCAAGATAGAACAAGACCATGAGAAACATGTTTTCTAACCTCCATACAAACAAAATTTAAAAACAAACGTAATTTACAGAATGAATTGTCAACATTCCTCGAGCTCAAGACAGCCCAGTGGTTAAAGTCTGTGGGTCAAATCCAACCCCTGCATCTCGACTGCCCTTGTCTAGGCTTGAGCAACCTGAGAGTCTCTGGGCCCTTGCGCTTCCGTCGGGTAGCATGGCAGCTAGACACCGAAAGAGTTGTTGCAGCTGAAACGGCATCTCGCATCTTATTACCCACCACAACGATACTGAATTTAGTAAGATTGCTGACGATTTTTATCAAATCGGGCAACTCACAACGAGATATATTCCTGTCCCGGTAACAAGCATTCTCCTGCATGAACCAGCACATTGAATCTTTTATAACACGACTTATTGATGTGTTCTTCCTTTTTTTTATCATGTTTAATAATGGTTGGTAACCCCTAGTATACAACCTCTCCCTCGTTACAAAGCAGCTTTATCCTTTTTTAACGATTAGAGGCAAACACCCAGCTGAAGCAGTACACTTACAATCATGTCGTTTTTTGTTCCGTTTTACCTCGTAATTCGCGAGTAGACCAATGGACATACAGCTCAGTTATTCGAATATCCAGATACGGGCGTGTCACCCTAGACAAACCTGCGTGTGCCTCTGAGTTCTGATACCAGCATCCAACAGTTGTTCATTAGCTTCACTCAACCGGACTTCAAACACACAGTGTTTAGTCGTAGGTCATACTTTCAAAGGGTTCGATCCTTCCAAGACTTAAGAAGTATGCAAATCCGAGAAGAGGATGAAAGGCGTTTTCCATCACGGTCGACAGAACTAACCTTGCCATAGGTAACATTACCAAAAGAAACAGTGACACGGGAAAAATGTACAATGAAGATAAAATTGCTTACAGGAATGCTGGGACAAATAACACCACAGGTCGATACGATAAGCAACCTCTGGGCGACAGATGGAGGAGGACGTTCGTTTAACTGGGACCACAACTGAGGTAACAGTTCACTCTCCAGTCTTGTAGGGCCTTCAAATACGGAAACAAAAACAAAATGTGAGCTCGGTTGTCAAGGCCATCAACTGCGTAACCGGATAACCTAGACGTAGAACAATTCAGTTCAGACAAAAGCCGAACCTGATTACTTTTTCCACAAAACATACAAAATCCCGTATCATACCAAAGTACGGTCGAACACGACCAAACTACGTGAAAAGTCTGTTTCTGTTTAAATTACTTCCGGAGTACACTGAGAAAACATACTCATTCGTACCGAAGGTATTTTCAGCGTCACCATCCGCAGATTGCCCGTTGAGTAACTTCAAACAACCTCAGCGTGAGACAGAAACATCTAACAAGTTAGCAGTAAAATACATTCGCAGACAATCCCAATTGAACACAACCTAATATTCACACGAAGTCCGAGGTAGCTCAGTGGTTAAGATGCACGCTTCCTGACCGGAAGGTCCGTGGTTCGAACCCGACTTCTGCATCTCGATTACTCCTGCCTAGCGTTGAATAACCTGGCAGTATCTCACCTCTCGTGAGGGTAGCATGCCAGCTAGGAACCGAAAGGGTGTGACAGCTGATTGATTCATAATTGGTCAAATCTAATGCTGAAGGCGGATGTACCAAACGAAATTGTGAGCATTCGAATCCGTACTTCTTTGTATGAGTTGTTACACCTGTAAAAGTAGCACATGTTTTCAGTCTCAACTACAAACTGATAATGGAATGGACAGTCGGTCGGTGTTTCGCGCCAGAGAGCTAAAACAGGATATGCGATCCCAGCTGTCAACCCAAGCGGAAGAACTTGCGGAAACAGTGCTGACCACACAAACGTTTGCATTTGTCTATTTGGAGTGGTGGGTCATCCACTGACGAAAACAAGACATAGCCCGTATAACAGACTGTTAAGAATGGAAATTACAGACAATTTACCAAATACATAAGTTTGCATACGAATTTGGTTTTGACAGGAGACTGGACTGAATCCATCTGAATCTTTCTTTTATGATGGTATGCTTCAACTGGATGACCTGCACCAAGCCTCCTTATGTTTCAGTTGGCATAATGTTCGAGAAATCGTGAGATGTGACACGCTACATATTATGCTCTTGAAAACTCTCCGACTGCCCACGACTGTTTTCACCTTCCACTCCGGGGTCACCAGGTAGGCATAGTCCTCGAGTTTCCGTCAAGCTAACTTTCTACTGGAACCCTAAGATGGGTAGATTTCGAGAAATACTTTCTCTCTCTCTCTCATTTGCATAGGAATCTGGCTGTGACAAGAGGCTCATCTGAATCCAGCTGGATCTCTCATTTATGGTGGTCGGCTTCAAATGAATGTGCTACACCAGACGTCCTCATTCTTCAACTGCTTCAATATTTGAGGTGTCGCAATACACTGTCTAGACGTGACACACTTCTCATAAAGTTGTTCAATGTTGCCGAAAGGTTTTAGGCTTAAATCTGGATACTGAAACAAGTAGCCAGATCTGCAATCGTGAACAGCGCGATACATATGACGTGTCAAATCGTGACCGACCGCACTCTATTCTTGAGACACAAGCTAATGGTGCCCCGTTGAAGGATTCAATCACTATTTAGCGGCTCGCCACAGGCAGCCAGTTGGGTATGCTGATCATTTCCTAGTTATTTTTCTGTCAACCTCTCAAAACTATTCCTTCGTGTTCAAGCGACACAAACGCTGTTCCTCATGTGTGTCCAAACAAACGACTCGTGATGGCGACTATCCCGCATAGATAGGTTTTATATGAGGGGAAAATTTGAGGAACTCTACCAAATAATACTAAATGAAATGAAGTGAAATGAAATGGCACATACCGAGATACAAAGCCAGTCGACGGCATGCATTGAGAATGAGTGTCCGGTGTTGATGATTGTCCACAAGGAGATCATCATTTGGTGTGGCTGTTGTACGGGGACCGGAGGAGAATGAATGGCGAATATGTACAGAATCTGCAGACAGAGTCGATGAAGTTGGAGGCGAGAAGAGGTTGAACAGAAGGCGAAGTAATCGGTCCCGGACAATCGAATCCGGGTGTAGACAGATGGCTTGGGTAAGTAGCGGAAGGCAGATCTGGATTGGGAGAAACGAAGTGCAGCGAAAATGGAACTGGAAGTAAAATTGGTGGATCAGTGACCCGAATCGTTTGATCAATGCTCACATCGATCAGATACGCCAAAATCAGACAAGGTACAAAATAATACAGGGACACATGCATCCTCCCAGTACGGTCTCCAGTGGACCAGTGAGCTCTGTCTCGCAATGGTTTCCATATTGATAATGGATTGGAATGATCTCATTTGTTCCACACCACGACCAAAGGACCATCTTCCTAAAGATCAAAGATCAAGTTGCTCCGAAACGGTACAGTGGTACCTCTTATCAAGTTTAACAGTCGAAACCAATCGAAGTTCTTTTGGACGCTCACCAAGTACGATTGCCGGAAACACAGTTATTTAATCAACATACTCTAGAAAAACAGCGTGATGACGATGAATCGGAATATTAAGATAAACTGAATATCACCCAGTCACAGGTCACGGTCTAACTATAAGGAGACATGCGCGCAGTCACCCGAAATTGCCTTTGACAAACCGAAAAGAGGCACTTGATGTGTCGCATATTGTTTTTTTTTGTTAGAACGAAGCTGTGCACTGCACTGTCGGGTGATCTTGGCCCTACGGTTGTCTTTAAGAGATTTTCTACCTGTTTCACAGTTGTAAAACTGTGAGAAGAGTGAGCATGGAAGGGTGGTTTTATTGAATAACCTTAAACGGAAATCCCTGTTCGCATCTGCCATTTAGCATTACAAATCATGCTATCATTCTGAATTACAAGAAACAACGGGCACACAGCGCAAAAATGAGCGTTAAAACTAATTTTTGCCCTCTGCTGCTATGGTGATGGGAGAGCAGTTTACGAAGAAGCGTTGTTACCATACCAACCCGGACACCAAAAAATGCTGAATGTAGCACATGGGCGATTGTTATTGATGTCGAAGGAAGTGGGAATCGTGGAATGCTACCCGGCCTGCGTAAGCTAACACGCTGATATCCATGAATAATAATATATCATAAATAATCGTTCAGCTATAGCATGCTTTCGGTGTATTGCTGTCATGCCACCTGAGTGTACGTGGGCTGAGATACTGTCTGATTGCCCAAGACCAAACAAGAGTAGTCGAGATGTCGGCGTCATGCTAGAATCACACACCTTCTGGTTAGTAAATTGGCATATTAACCACTGAGCTACTTCGAGCTCAAATATCCCTGAAAGTGACTGCACATACAGAGAAAAGAAAAAAGAATTAAAATATTCGACCTAGGCTCACAGTCTTGCCATCGTCGGCCATCAGTGGAAACGAAGACTCGAGCCGTTCCGAGACCAGCACAACGAAATCATCCAGAGAGGTGGCCAATCTGAAGGCGACGTCATCCGAATCGGCCGAAACGACACTAAGACGAGGGAGGATTTCCGTCATGTGACGCTTAAATTCACTTGATGTAGATCTAGGTGAAAAACCAAACAAGGTGCACCAGATCAGATCATTAGCCACAGACAAATCCCACTGATAGAAATGTTTTCAACAAATACCGGTGATTACCTTCGAACGACGGGGCTTCGAGCATGGCTTCGAGAATCCAAACGTGCTGCAGCCAGTCACATCCTCATGTTCACAGTACAAGCCCTGTGACAGTCATATGACTACTGTCTTCCAATAGAATTCATCAATCACTATCGAAAATTAAGCCTTCACCACATTTAAGGAAGCGAGAGATTGCAGAGGAAAAGAGGAACAATATCCGGTCATCTTAGTCTGTTGTGAAATTTTGTGTACCTCAAGGAGAATTTCCAGCAAACTCACACTGATCATAATAGAGTAGTCAGGTACCTGTACAGCGTGTGAGGCAGTGCATGTGCTCGGCTAAGCGGGAGTTTGATGCCTATCACGAAGCTCACCTAATCTCAAGTATCCTACAGTGTGCGAGCGCAATCCGTTGACGGCTATTCGGACAACCATAGTCAGATCGTCCCACCAGGTCAACAGTTGGCTGTACCAAGAATCACATATTCTAGTCTATAGTCAACAGCCGCGTCATCGAATCGGTGAACGCGTAGTTCAGAAGTGCACAGCATGAAACTGTTATTCAAAGGACAATGTATCCGAATGAAGAATGTGAGTATCGGAATTCCGGTCAGATGTCCGGAAGAAACGGAAGTTCATCAAAAAGACTCACACTCCAGGAACACACTTTAACTACACCAATACACCTATCTGACCGTTATCGGAACGTGACAGGAAACCCAGATGAGTCTCTCCCTTATGGTGTTCTCCAGCTGAATGTGCTGTGTACAAAGACCGTCTCACGTTTCAGTTTGTGCGATAGTCTGGGTGGAAACACACTATTCAATTGGAGGACATTAGCTGGGATGCGGTTGAGTCTCCTGCTAAGATTCGTGAACCAATAAACAGCCCAGAGAAAGGGAAGTTTCACTGGATGTGTGAAACTTACTTCTGAGAAGTCATCAATTAAGGAGCCAGTCAATACATGAATCCATGATGTGGATGCCGTTATTGAAGGACGAGTGGTGCTATGTCCTATCACGGTGAGACTATTCAAACTACTGATCGGCTACTCGTGACCAAACGGTTAAGTGTTCAACCAATGGCCGGAAGGCTGTGGGTTCGAAACTCTCTGAGGTCCTTGAGATGCGTATTGTTGATGATTCCTAACAAGGATGAAACAGTTGTATAGTGCTTATCGGCATTTAAGCATAGCCTGGTTTCACTGACAGGATGAAATCTCCATTGAAAGACAAATCAGTTTGCAAACGAGTGTATTTCGCAAAACTAGTAAGGGCAAAAAGACAACAGTAATCCACGTGCTGTGCACCCCTCATTCTTGTGAAACCCTCGATATGTTTAGCAGATAAAAAGCGACGACCCGAATCAAGCCTGTTGTCTGAATTCAAACGACGACGTAGCAAAACATGCAAAACAGTGATAAGCACCAGTAAACTTACCTAGGGCACAAAGGGTGGACCATTGCTAAATCAGTCTGGGAGGCCACATTCGAAGATTTGTCATCAGAGCTATTCGAATCGCTGAATCCACTTTCAACCACCTTGGTATTCGTGGCGGTCTGGTTAACGAAACCCAATCGTTTCTGCACAACCTCAGCATGTTCTCTGTAAAGGAGAGAAAGGGGGCGAGGGGAGAGTGTTTGTCAACCTTGATTTGTCCACAACCGGTTTCTCCCTTCTTAAAGCTCATTAGGTAGACACAGTCCCCATGTTTCTGTCAACCTCAATTAGCGAGTCAATTAGCGAGTGAGATTGTGTTAGCGAGATACCCAACCGAATCTCAGCTGGAACCCGCGGTTATGATACTCTCCAACCGATTGTGCTGCACAAAAGTCATCCACTGTTCCAGTTGGTACGATATTCGAGATATCATATTATTCAGTTGTAACGTTACTCGTAAGATTGCTAGAAGCTCTTCGAAATCGCACCACCTGGTAAGCGCATTCCACGAGTTTCCGTCAGCCATATGTTCTAGTTGAACCCAAATTGGATAGTGTTCGACAAATGTTCTCGTTTGCAGAGGAATTCGGTTCCGACAGGAGACTAAACTGAATGCAAGTGCATCTCTCATTTATGCTGGCCCGCAACAGGCCTCCTCACGTTTCAGATGGAACGATATTCGAGACACTGCAATACTTTGTTGTCTACACTTGACCCACTCCTCATGATGTTGCTGAAGGCTCTTCGACAGCACACCACCTAGTTCACCCTTCCACTTCGGGCTCACCAAGTGGGCACAGTCCCGAGCTCCCATCGGCCTTGTCATATTGGAACTTATATTAAACGGAATCTCACAAATACTCGCATTTGCATCCCAACTTGGTTTTAAAGGGAGACTCAGATAAATCCCAGCAGAATCCCTCTTTTATGATATTCGAAAGTACGGCAGTGGAACATCAGTGAAACATCAGTGGTGATGATGATGATGATGACGATGATGAGCCTACCTACCTGATGAGCCACAAGAACGAAACCGGCACTGGATAGTACTTAGTAATGTTATAAGTAGCGTGTTATACCGATATGTCCAGTGGCGTATGAGCTGAAACATGAGGCGTCTTTAGCAGTGTTGTGGAATGTAGGTAGCACGAGTGCGCTGCTTGGTTGTTGGTCTGTTCGCCGAGCTTGGAAGTTGGATTGCAAACGTTTCATCACCAATTGAGGTGAGATCGTCAGTGCAGAGTTGATTGGGCCCCACTCAACCCTACACTGACGATCTCACCTCGATTGGTGATGAAACGTTTGCAATCCAACTGCCGAGCTCGGCGAACAGACCAACAACCAAGAGGCGTCTTTGTGCAGTACCTTCAGTTGTGCAATATAAAGCAAACATTCAGCTCGGATGCAGCTGTTTCCCAGAGACAACAAGTTAATTTAGAAATTCTGGATAATATACCAGTGGAGCGAATGACAGTAAGTGTGAATTACACAATTTCCAGTGTGTCTGTCCTTTACCAAATAGAGTGTGTACTGGATGCTCGAGTACCTAGCTGGAGTGCAGAAGCACCGTGGAGCTATAGGACATGCCAGAGACGAAAAAGAAAGTTCTCTCGATTTCGCAATCATACTGCCTAACGGAATTGAATGAGATAAGCAGGTTCCGGGTAAGAGTGCAGCGTTTTGGCTCCGGTATCCAATTACTAAGTACACATTGAGTATATGCGAAAAAGTCCAATCTACGACAAACACGGTACACTGTATTCATACTACACAGATATAAAACCTGGTCTTTGGGCGCACTGAACACTATGGATGCATGAGGGCAGTGCTACGTTGAGACCAACTGGCTAGTTATCAACCCCAGGTAGGTAGACGTCAATCCAACTGGGAATTGCAGGTGATCAACATAACTAAAATCGGACAAAATAAATTGGTCAAACATATCTTCCACGTCTCCGGGAGGCGCAAATTAAACGAACCAGGAAAGCCGAATCAATGCATATGGTCTTCTATACCAACCAGCCATCGGAAAGCCTTCAGGTGACTGCATGCAGAGGGCTCTGTTACGGGCGATGTGTTGACGCAAAACCCAACTAAGTGATAGGCAAAATCTGGGCTACTAGTAATTTGTCTCCTCGCACGACTTGTGGGTCACTTCGGTGCATACTTCCAACCTGATTCCTTGTGAACTATCACAGCACACACATGCCCAGAAAACACACGTTGTATGGTGGATTATTAGGCAGCCACGTGTGTACAATAACGTACACTTGTCTATCCGTTCACTAATCCTATTGACAGCTCCATTGAATTATTAGGCGGATAGGTGCTAGCCTAATCCAAGAACTAATCCAACCCGAATGCACTAACCCCTACCACCTACTCGCGAATTATCGCTGTGTGATTACAAATTCAGAAGTGGGTGGTAAGCCAAGCATGGTAACATGGTAAATCGATTCTGAACTGTTGAAAGGACTGTTCTGCTAACAGGCTTTCAAGAAAGCAGAGAGAGACATCTCAGTGTGTTGGGTCTTTTAATTGTAGTTTTATACCCATGAGCAACAGATTTTACAAAGCTTACAATGTATTTCTCAAATTGGAAATGAAATGTATGCTGAAAAGTAGTTTGTCGTCAGAGAGGATCAATTGTGAAATATCAAAAATCCCCAGTCACTTCGAAGTCAGTAAAGATACATCTATGGAGAAGTAGTTCCGCAGGATTCCGTGATGAGACATGGGGCAATAACAGGTGGACCTCTCGTTTACGATTGTCCGCTTCAACTGAATGTGATGCACTAGACCGCCTTACGCTTCAGTTGGTACAATATTCGAGATATCACAATGCGTTGTTGTCTGGACCCAAGAGGGATGAAATCAGCGTGGGCTATCGAAGAGTTTTCAGCGACCTCAGAAGTAGCGCTTTACGTCTTGGAACAATACTTTCTAAAGGCGATAGGACAGTGGCTTAGCGCCAGTAGTTAGTAGCGAAATCTCGGGCGACGGACCACCTACGCGACAGTACACACACACCTAAAGCTATTATACGATCAAGGTTTAAAGGATATTCAACTTGAGCCGGTTGGGCAGATATTGTTTTCATCCTGATACTACTGGTATAACGAAACTTCCCGTTATTTGAGAGGAAAAGTCGTTCAGTTGTAATACCCTTCCAATGCCTAGCTGCCACGCCACCCGAAGAAAGTATGAGGGCTTGGATAGTGCCAGGTTGCCCAAGCCCAGACACGGGAAGTCGAGAAGCATGTCGGGCAAGGTTCTGAAAACTTACCATACACAGTTGAATACCACACGGATAGAGGGACTCAGAACTCAAAGATATGTGATGTTGTCCATTCCGACGCATTGTCGCGTCTACTTAACTTTATGTGGTCACAACAGGAGATGAGAGGAATTCACATTACAAAGACGTCTGACCATATGGACAATTGATCAACTAGAACACGAGCGCCATATTTAGCCATAGAACACCTCATCACTATACACGCAATATTATACGATACGCCTCCTCAAGAAAGAAAAACCGAGTGGATGTTCCCTCGTGAAGGGTGACGCAAACACGAACTAGACTGTACATTTCTGTTCCGGAGCAAGGCACTTATACCAATTATTTCAAACAGCATTTGTGAGTGCGCAATGGGCTTTGGGCTCCGGTTTACAGGAATGCACAAAATCCAATAACCTAGCATTTCCGCGAATGAAACGTGACAATGCAGCCCCTTGAAGGTACACAGTAACCGTCGGTTCACCATATGTTGGATTAGCTCTGTACCATGGAGCGGGATGCCTAAACAAAGGATTCTATCCTAATCTGATCAGGAATGACGGTTACTATCGAGAAGAATGTTGTAACCCAGATGGCGTATAGTTGTTGCTTTGTCAGCTGAGCTGAGCAATTTGCCTGCAAACGTTTGATCGCCAATCGAGGTGGCATCATCAGTGCGCTGTTAGGAAGCGGATTGGAACAAAGTGATGAGCCGGTGGCTGTGCATTGAGCACTGTTGCGTGTTTATTATTATACATGGTGCTAGCCGAGGTTGACCTTGGAGCACGATTGATTGTTCGATAGAGTGGTTGCATTGGTTGATCTGTTGTCCTTTGTTCTAATTGTTTGGTGACCTCGTAGCCTTCGAGAGGCAGCTTTGTCCGGTCTCACTATTCTCTACTGGCACTATCACCACAACGTATTCCAACAAACGAACTATGAGCCTACCTTCAGCAAAGTGACCGATAGGCCAAATCAAGGTAAGTGGGGGGGGGTATACTGGAATTGCAGGGTAAATTAACAGTGCTTGCGGAATCAGTCGTTCTACGTAACTATCGATTGATGCGCCCGAATCAACGGTAAAGTGCTCATCAAACATGTTTATCCCTCTTGGCGCGTAATTTAGCCGTACCAGAGGCAGCTTCCGGGGCGGAGAACCAAGTGGAAAAGCCGTAACACATCTCCTTAAAATTTTTGCTCGATAAGAAAGTATCCGTTGAAGTATGGGGTATTGCAGTATTTCACCCTTTCTCCTGTCTAGGCGTGGGCAGCTTGGCGGTATCTCAGCCCTCGTGTTCCCTTCGGCATGGCAACTAGGCGCCGAAATGGTGTTAGATCTGAGCTATATCGAACTGTCTCACAATTTGTCGATTCTATTGGAGATCACAATTTGGTTTGACTGTGAAAAATACGGATAAGTAAATTTATTCTCAAATTGCTGAAATTTGATAAGTAAAACTGAGTAGTAAGTTACAAACTGCAGAAATTCGAAAAACTGCCAGTGCTCAAGGCGTTTTTTATGATTCCATTTGACTCCACGCGGTAGGGAATAGACGTCTGATAAATGTTCGCCATGACGGATCAATTGGCGAGACCTATTTCATATAGGGAGGTTATTCTGGTGTTTAAAACCCGATCGGTGTTATCTTGTCTAAGCAGTAGTCTGATGGAGTTCGAATAGAAACGATGGAGCGTGACGGAGAAAGCTGCTGTTGCTTGTAATATTCGATTGCTGTTCGCATCAACCGAACGTGCATCGAGGAGAAGTAAACTTGCAGTTAGCATTTGACCTCACCAGATTCCCATGTTGTCAACGCCAATAAGGCTGATTCATACCCGCACTTCCAGCCGACCACTAGTGGTGGTTTGATAAGAAATTATTGTTTGCTCTAATTTCCACACCATAAAACTCGCTTACAGACCTAATGAACATTCTGAGCATTCAAACCGGTAGTATGGTCCGAATTGAAACGATAAACAATCCCAAAAAGTAGCCAACCGGAGGCAGTTGTCTAAGAAGTGACAATAGAAGCAGGTTTCGGCGACTTATTGACTTTGGGAAAACAAAACCTAATGGCCTTAACCAACCAACTCCCTATGAGGGAGTGTCACCACCATGAAAGTGTTGCAGTTCGATGCAGAGCTCTTCCAAGCAAAACGTCTATGATCAAAGACGGGCAAAGTTTGCGAATTCTATTACAAACTTAAATCCCTCATTCGCGGCCACTCACTGGAAGGCCGCGAACTAACGAGAGAGAAGTCACGAATGTAGGATACGGTTTCGAAGAGGAGAAATGAGTGGTGTATGTTGAAGGTGCAAAACGGACATGCTACAACGATGGATAGATCAGCCTCATTCTGGTCTCCAAACGTTTCGTTACACAACATTGCTGACTTGACTCGACTGTAAGTAAGCGGAAGTGAAATGAACTGCTGACTGAATGATCGCTGAAGGAGCCATCTCTCTGTGTTACCGCCTTTCGCAATTCGTTTCCAACAATTTACTGATCCATTAATATTTGGACATGACAATCACCGGTCAAATAGGCAATATCCTGACATGTTTTGCCGTTTACATTTTGCCAAACTGTATGGATGTCTTCATCATCAGTGTCACGTTTTGCAGCAACCAACTGCATGTTGTGTGATAGCCGTTCTGATAGAGAACGACCACCTGTTGCATTGTTCGCGCGCCCCAATGCACTTTAACGCACATGCAAACGGGTGATCGCATCGACGATAATCTCAAATGGTAGCTGCACGGATTCGACAAATCGAATTTGCGCAATCACAGCAGCATTGATTGGGACCACAAAGATGTGAAGATTCGGGTTTTTCACGAACCGATCGGTCCGAGTAATCGGCTACCTCAAAATAACTACCATCATAGTATTAAAAGGCTGACTGTGGCGTGTGTTTGTCACCGATAGTGCAGAATTGCCGCCATTGTTGTCAACGTCGCTGGCGCGCACAACTAGCAGGGTCAAGCCACCTGGTCGGACAGGTGTTCGATTCGTACCAGTTGGCAACTAGATCACAAAGTATACTAAATTCATCTACATCGAATCGCGCCAACAACAAATACTAACAGTTATCGTCTGTTGGTGACATTACCAGTTAACTCAAATTATTCATGTCAGAATGATCATCATCACCATCAGCAACGCATCACCAGTAAATACTGGTTCTTAGCTGTGATACGACCACAAAGAGGAATTGCTCCAGTAAAGAATGAAAAAGAAGGGGGAGGATGGGGACCTGTTATAAACAACCTTAGGCTTGGCTGGTTGTCGAGTTTTCGAAAATGCCGTGTAAGTAATTCACGAAGTATCCAATGGAGACTAAACGTGCGGCTCAGGAAATGGGGACTGGCTACTAATCAAGGACAGCGAATCCTTCTGGGTACGAAATATGAACGTTGTGTGCCAAGTGACAACAGAAGGAACTTTTGTAATTGCATGTCTATTAGAGCTGAGGCATACGTTTATAGTAAGTGCACAAAAGACCATGGAAAGGAGCCTACTATTAAGATGAATAATAATAATAATAATCGTTCAGCTGTAGCGCCCTTTCGGTGCCTAGCTGCCATGCCACCCGAAGGAAGCACGAGGGCTGGGATACTGTCAGGTTGCCCAAGCCTAGACAGGGGAAGTCGAGTGGCGGAGGTCGGGTTCAGCTGTAGCACCCTTCCGGTGCCTAGCTGCCATGCCACCCGAAGGAAGCACGAGGGCTGGGATACTGTCAGGTTGCCCAAGCCTAGACAGGGGAAGTCGAGTGGCGGAGGTCGGGTTCGAACCACGGACCTTCCGGTCAGTAAATTCGCGCTCTAACCACTTGAGTGACGTAAGTAAGATATCCTCTCGGAATTGTGTATCCGTAAACAGTCGTTACATAATCCAACACAGCAAATAACCAGTCAGATACACCGCGAACAGTAGGAAAGACAACAGACACGCACCGTTCGAGACAAATCAGCTGGTTTCGCCAATTTTGAGCCTGAATGACCAGCTGCGCGTTTTTCGACTCCAGGAGAACAACCTGTTGTCGCAGTGATACCAGTTCCTCCAGCTGAAACGAAACGAAGCGGGAATAAAATCAAGTATTGGAGAAGAAAGGAGATTCATTCAGGACAACTGTATCCTACCGAGAATAAGTAATAGGTTTGCATGGGATGACTTTCGGTGGTACAATTAAAACCTATACTTTTCACTAGCTCAGGGTCAGTACTTAACTATCATCACCATTATTAATTACTAGCTGAGACGACGCATCCGACGTCATTATCATTGACGGATGTACCAGATGAGAATATAAAAGAGCACTGCAATTCAACCACGTCACTTCGGTTGAACAAAGCTTCATAAAAAGAAGGAGAAATGAGACTTAGGACTGGTTTGTCACAAACATCAGAGGTGTCCACACGTGGAGTACTCAGTTAGATGGTGACAGCAGGCATTTCGTTCAGTATAGTCAGTCAAGCACAGAGGGTAAAGTGAACTTCATCTTGGAAGGCGAACAGCATCAACGTCACCCAAACTTTCCGTTACATCTTTCATTACATTTATCACCTTTTATAACCTCCAAGTTTCCGCCACTGCGAATTGGGCACCGACAAAAAACATTCTTATCGGCAGGCAGCAACTTGGGGTACGTAACACACGGCCCAGCCAGCTTAGCTTGCAACGCCTGATACATTCTTTGAGGGGAGCATCCTCTGCATCAGCTAAAACACGTCTCCTAGTCACTTCATTACACATTCGCTAACCTCAGCCGATTCGAGCTACAGTTTTGATACATCATTGGTCAACGACTTGAGATTGTCTCGGATTCTTCGCCCGATGTGGCCGAGTCTTATAGTTATACAACAATACAGCCCGCAGTGTAGTCTGATTCGCGCATCCTTTGAGACCCAGTGAGATGTCTTTTTGATGCCCCAGGTGGGCTAAGTCAATAGGAAACAAAATAGTTGACGGTTAATCGGATGAAGATAACCATGCCCCAGTTTACTGGCTAATGATGCACCGGGCATTAAATCAAGGTGGGGTGTTTGAATCTGCCTAAAACCACAAGAAATCCTAAGAGCAACCCAGACCACTCACATGATAAACGCTCTCAAACATATCAAGAAGCTCGAGAACTACTTTTTTGCTGAAAAATAGGAAACCTAGACAAACTAGAAAACAGGTCTTGAGCCACCAATATAACCAACGCGGATTATTCAATTGAGAACAAACAGTAGCGGGTAATTTACTTGATTCCGAAATCGTTTCGGATCTTCTGTGTCCATTATTACGGAACTGGTCTCATTATCGAACGGGTTTTTCCGCGTGCTACCAACAAGGTCCGTGACCGAATCCAGGACGAGATGCGAGGATGAGATATCATCGGTTGGTGTTGTTGACCAATAAGATCGGAGAAGACAAAGTAGATTCGGTGGTTTAGGCAAATTTACTCCAACCTAGCAAAAGGGAATTTGAAGAAAACACAATGCGTAAATGACTGTGGTACAGTAGTCATCAGGGGAACCATGTGTACCATCCAAAAATATTGATCCGTACGAAGACAGCACGGATGATTATTAGTTTTAACCGGCAAGACCAGAGCAGGTCAAAAGATTTTGTGTGCGCTTCTACAAACTAATTGAATAAAAGGTCGGAACGTACGGTAAAATTGATCGCGACACAGACAGGACAGTAGTTCTCAACCACAAAAACAATTTGAATATACATGAGGACACTCCAAAAAATCGACTAAGTGACGTATACTCCACATAAAGGTTAAACACATCCTCCAGCGCGTCAAACACAGCCTTCGATCATGATCATGGTACTGCATAAGCCAACCGAATGCCTATCGAAGGCGGCGATACCAGCGCCAGGCTAAGCGAACTCACTTCTGGAAAAAATAATTGATTTCCAAGAAGAAAACGAACGTTTCATCGTCACAGGTACAGTATTCGCCGCGAAACACTGGTCCGTTCATAAAGAACGTTGAAAACATCCAATTGTGTATTGCACACAGACAAAATAGTAATCAATGTTGAAGTTCACGGATTGTTGGACAAAGAGAGTGAGAGAGGACACTCCAAAGAAGAGAATGATAAATCTAGTTCATGGATAGGGAACCCGACCCCACCGTGGGGAAGAGATCCGGAAAGTGGACTAAGTGGCCCAAAGGCAAGGAGGAAGTTTCATGTGTGGTTTCAAATTTATGCGCAGTAATATAGATAGAACGAGCTTTCTCCAGACTATTCTGGCGTCAGTAAAATCGAAGTTGCGCATTTTTTTAGTGGCAGTAGAGAGTGAAACCAGTAACCTGGGCGGGTGAGCTCAGTGGTCCAACAGAGAGAGGAACCAGGTTCTCCGCTAACAAAAGATGCCACAACCTACCTAACCAAACTGGCTACAGCAACTCAATAATTACAAGTCAAACTAGTCATGGAGACATGGCGAATACATCAAGTAGCCAGAAGGCGCACGACAGATCCACTCACTGGATCCAAATTACCAATACTGGGAAAACGGATTTTCCTAGTAGTTCGATAGTTGAAGAGAGGTCGTCACTCGGCTACAAACTAACGAAAACGAATTGATAGGGAGTGAACCGAAGATTCCCATAAGGTCGTGGAAAATGCAGCGGTAATTTCTCGGTAATTTCTCCTCTAATCGATACAATAACAAGGTAGTAACGAACAGGATTCTGATTCAAAATGGGACGGGCTATCAGTTCCTTATATATAGTCACGTGGTACGGTTAAGCTGTTACACTGTAGACACTATTGGACTGTAAGTTTACAACCACGCTAGGTGCGTGTGTACACGCACCTATGTTAGATGCAGAGGACAGGGGTTTTTTTACCCCGATAGTGATTGACTCTGTGTTACAGTTAGGACATTGTTTACCTATCGCCGTTCAGTTGCAACAACACTTCGGTGCCTGGCTGCAATGCCTACCGGAGTAAGCGCGGGAGCTGGAATACGGTCAGGTTGCCCCATGAAAGGTATTAAAATAAGATTGATTCAATTACACTGCTTTATCCGAAGCAGTATTAGTTAAGTGCCCGATCCACTTCAAACACAAGTCAATTTAAACCAAAATTTCCGTCGACCGGGGCCCAGAAATCCAAGAAACAGTCTGTTATCTGTTCAAGTAGAACATAAGGTTGACGAAAACTCGGGGACTGCGCCTAACAGATAAGTCTCAAGAAGGGTGAAACCGGTCGTGGGCGATTTGGAGAGTTTTCGGCAACCTTCTGAGTAGTTTCCTTTATGAAAATACTCTGTTATCTTGTCCACCCAACTCACTGCATGAAAAAGCTCCCTGTCAAGTTGTGTTGCTTAGTCCTATCCACTGATGCGTCACCAGTTGCAAACTAACCGGCTCCAAGTGTGTCACGGAAATCTGTGTGCTGCTACAAATCACATGACAAAAAGCTTGAAAAGTTCACAAAACTGTCATTATACGTGACACAATTGATGGAACAGTGACAACACATGATTGATAAACCAGTAACGAAAAGCATACCAATCGACCGGACTGGTAGCGAAAAAAATTTTGATCCATTTACCTGTTCCCAGGATTCAACGTCCTGCAGACCGACAGATTCAGACTCTTCGGAAAACTGAACCGCCGTAATGCGGTAGTTGTTGTGTAAGAGATAGTCATTGATGAGCACAGCTAAGGCACGGAATTCGTAAGGACGGATATCTTGTGGTTGTGTGTTTGGTGGCTCGTGGAAGTTACTGTCAGGATCTAAAGAATTGAAGCAAGCGGGTGAACAGTATGTAAACTTCCAAACGAAGATTTTAAACAGCAAGTTTTTTTAATGACAACGAATTTTAAACGGCTACACTGACATCTGGGTAATCTACTCGAGCCGTAGGGAACAACGAACAAGCAGTTGGGAATGAAACAACATCTATGTCAAATTAAAAAGACAAGATTTTGGTTCATAGTTACATAAAACTAAGACTACATGGGTGTCTCGACTGCGTGAACAATATTGAGGATACGAACTCTAAAGAGCTAAGCGGTTAAGGTCCGCGGCTTGAGCCATACCTCATCATCTCCATTGCTCCTTTCCAGGCTTGGGCAGTCTGGCCGTATCTCAGCCCTCGTACTTCCTCCGGAGCGTTGCAGCTGGGTACCAAGAGGGTGTGATAGCTGAACGAGACGATCATTATGAGAACACGGAGGTAAGCTGGGCTGCCTCCGAAACAAGCTAGCAGCATATACTAGTAACTTCCCTCACCCATAGCCGGCTTCGAACACCCCGGGACTTCATGTACCCTCATTGAGTATGTTACACCCTATCTCCTTGGCTAGTTTCAACTGCGTGGAAAATTTTTTTTAAATGGAGCCTACTATACTATGTCGTAATGTTGACCGTGGGGTTCAATTCAACGGCTCAAACAAAACAGACCCCCACATGAGAGGGCTGGCTACCGAAACCGGTGGTGTCTCTAGAAGGTGACAACTGTTCGCCTAAAAATGGTGGACTAAACCCACCCCGAAAATCATTCACTCCTAGAGTACGCTCGCTCCTGAAATAGGCCACATTTGCCAAATGGTCTAAAAAAGTTGTTTGCTTTTAATTTTTCACTGAATAACACTACTGTCACCAACTAGGGAAGTGAAGTCTGGGTACATTTTCAAAGCTTCTGAAGTTTACACAGAATATCCCAAATCTACCAACGAGCTGATAATCACATACTGACATTCGTATATCGAGTTCTACATACAATGACCTCTCCAAGGGAGAGACCCCTTTAGAGAGAGTTCATGGAGATCTTTCCGTCAGGCTTCTAGGGGTCTTCCTGTATCAGAAGACGTCACTCCAATCCCCCTAGAGTTCGTTATTTTACTCCTCAGAGAGTGGGCCAAGAGTCGCATGACGTATCTAGATCATGTCAGCTGAGATACTAGGTAACATGCACCAGGCCTCTGAGCCATTTCAAAAATGTCTAGTTCAGATAACTCGACCGAAGTTTCGTTCCAAGTCTAGAATTAGGTTTTTTGCTGCTCGACAAATGTCGGGGTTCATGTTACATTGTGAGGAACATCCAGTTTACGTTTATCCTTCCTAAAGCCAATCTGGTGTTAACAGTTGACCTGTCTTTATTGCAGCAGGTGGTGGACCGAATTTCGTGAGACAGAATACGAATAAATCCAGATGGAAGTTGTTGCAGCCATTGTAAATCACTGTATGGCTGAGGGAGTCCTATTCACTACCTTCTCGTGGCGATATATAAGAGAGCGAGAGAGTGTCAGGCAATATAGTCAGGTTGACGTTTCATGGTTTGCCCTTCTAGGGGATCTGGCTAGACCATGGTGTCAAACCAACAACGGCGAGGGAATAAATCAGCTATAGTTGGCTGGGCGGATAAGACTGCCTTCTGAATCCAATGGTCATGCTGACGGTCCTGACCACCTGTTCTCTGTATCTTCCATCCTGCCTTGTAGATTTCTCTTGATTGCGCAAAGACTAGAGGTGCATCCGGTGGAGCTGGGTTAAACCCGTAATGGATCCCCACGAAATCCCAATGATCATATTCCTAAAATGCAATTCTGTTCATGCTGGGACGTCTCCGGAAGTTCATGCATCACTTGCTGACAAGCGGCTGGGGTGATCAGAAAGCAAGCCGAGGTTCCCGACGTAAGAAGAAAGCCCCTCACAAGTCGTTGGAATATTTGTGCGCAACTTCAGGCTTCCACCCAAAGAATTTACGAATATCATATATTAGCTGTCTCGGTAAACCCGTTACCTGACTCTGGTCCACGATCAATACAGGGCCCTGGCTTCATCACGGCGGACCAGCGGACAACACGAGGATCTAAAGAGTTGCGAATGCCGTAACTAGCCGCTCCAACAATGTACTAATTGCTTTGGATCCAATATCCCAAGAAAAGTGGTGGCTCTTTACAAAGGGATCCCTCTGAAATTGAGTGTAGCAGCTGTTTAGGTCCCGCGCCAGTATCGGACTCAACCGTAAGAAACGAGTTCGATGGACAATTACAACAGGCGATCAACGGGACCTCAAGAAAAGACACTTTGAGAGTAGCGGGTGATAGGTACGCTCGAGTTAGTGGACGATAATACGTGCCACGTATTTGGCCCGTTTGGATTGGGTCAATGGTGTGAAAGCGACGAAAGCTCCTAACCTTAACCTCACTTAAACGGCTCGTTTTCACTAATGCTCTTTTTCAGAATCCCAGAAAAGGCTTACTGACGTGGTACTGGAACAACTATGTTACGGTGCGCGCGTGACGGGATTCATCGATGAAAAATTGAAGGTTTCAGAGAGGTGCGGATTCTGGAAGCGCAGGAGGTACAGATCACACGCTTGTGCAAGTCAGAAGTAAATTTCATCTCATCGCTAAATGAAGTCGTTCTCCGAAGTGCAACAACAAAGCGCTACTCAGCTTACTGGGAAATCAGCGGAGACTTTTTGGTACAATAAACGTGGGATGAGATGCTAATAATTCTAAACTTCCAGCTGACCACTTGGTTCAGGTAGATGACAAGTGAGTAGCTTTGAAAACCCATGTACAGTAAGCCACTATGTACAACGACATCGCCTAGACTGGATACTTGAGGGAAGGTGGTGAAAGATCAATCGATTATCCTGGTTGGACTGGTCGGATATGGCATCAGGCATGGAATCTGCTGAGAAAACTGGTGAATTCGGCAAAATTCGTTCTACAGGAAAGGCTGCAGGAGACCTTCGACCTTAATAGGACTCTCTGCGTGGAGCGAATGGAGAGTTTCCCAACCATGACGAAAAGATGGAATACTTCGAACAACTGTTCAACCACCCGTCAACCAAAACTTGAAACCCCGAGATCAATCCAGCTTCAACACAATACGATGCCAACCGTGAGGCCAAGTGAACCAAAGATTTCCACGGTTATCAGACGGCTGAAGAGCGGAAAAACCCCCGAGAGGATTGAATACCGGCATGAGTCTATGAGCTCTGCACTCCGGAACCTCTCGAACCACATCATAAGATGTTTTGCACACCTCCGAAAGCTGAATTCGTTATGCAAGATTGGGGTAACTCACTATAATTACCGACCACCCAAAAGGCATGTGGCGTCAATCTTGTTGATGCTGCTACCAAAGTTTTCGCGTCCATTCTGCTACGTTTCCTCCGAAAACGGGGAACGCTAGACCGGGGTTTCCGCCCTGGAGACTGAGAACCAAATATTCTCTTTGTAACGAAAATCAGAACATCTATTCAAATTTGGGTAGCTCACGACGGTACACTCTATCAGCTTTCGGGTCGCGTTTAAATAGAGTGATCGTGAATCACAGTGGATCATCCTATTAGCTGAAGTGGAGACAGTCGATCTCATGAAGGCTCACTACTTATTGGTGAAAGCTCAGCAGCTGCTAGACAGGGAGGAGGCCGGAGTTCGACAATGAGGCTGCCAGCGCTACCCAAACGAATACTCCCGGGATATTGTGCTATCCAATAAACCCCCCAAATCCGGAGAGATGAATTGGAATGATGATGCCGTTCTGTAGAGTTACCACTTGGAAAAACCGCAACGTGTCCCAAGTGAACTAATTCACTAACAGCATTAGTAGGATTAGAAATCAACACGTCGAAGGTTAAGTTAATCTTCACCTGCATAAATGCGCCTCTCCGGCCTCTCAACATAAAGATGGTGAAATAATCTAGTAGGTTGGTTGCACCACTCAACGGATAGGCTAAAGAAGACATTTAACAGTATGCACAGCAACCGACAAGCTTTTGTGCAGCTGAACCTCGTATTGTGAAAAAATGAGCTTGGTTTACGCACGAAAACTCGGATCGTCAATGCAGCCACACGTCCGGTCCTAATTCATGCTTGCAAAACATGGCACCTGTATGGTCTATGGAATCCGTCACTGGAGCGGACACTCCGTAAATCTGGTAGCCGATCGCTTTTCCTAGGAAGTGTGTATCCGACACATTAGAAACCAATTAATCTCGCCCCAGGAGACAATCTTCCGAAAGAGAACAAATAATTAAGTTAGGAAGTAACTGATGGACCGACTAGATAGACCGACCCTATGGGTGAAAGTAGGATAGGATGACTCAGCAGGAGTGGTCTACGAAGACGTGGATTTGTTCTACCCGACCTCTGCCACTCGACTTCCCCTGTCTAGGCTTGGGCAACCTGGCTGTATCCCAGCCCTCGTGCCTCCTTCGTGTGACATGACAGCTAAGCACCGAAAGGGTGCTACAGCTGGACGATTATTATTATTTATTATCTGGGGTGCTAGTGAAAGCAAAAAATAACCTGTTGCGGTTTGCGGGATACGTATTGTTCATACTCACAGCACTCTAGTTTGAACAGTCGCCCTTCTGTCTCGGTGTAATTATTCTGGTGAGTCCACACCAGAGGGTGGAGCGCTGGACTCGAGTTTCACTCTTACTACAGCTCATTAGTAGTGCCTATCCAATGACCGTGTTGGGGTTTGAACTGCGGACACCTGACATCCGAGGTAATTGTGTTACCACTACTCCACCAGCGCACGTTGGGGAACATCTGAATTTTCACGTCTGAATGGGTGAACGTGTTCATGTTTGAGCGATTTGATTGGTGCACACGATTCATCAACACAGTCATTGGATAGGCACTACTGATGAGCTGTAATAAGAGTGAAACTCGAGTCCAGTGCTTCCCCCTCTGGTGTGGACTCACCGGAATAATTACCCCGAGACAGAAGGGCGACTGTTCAAACGAGAGTGACATGAGTATGAACAATAAAATAATCATCAACAGCATGACATCAATGTTCAATACTGATACTTAGTTGCCGTGCGACCAAAAAATAATAATAGTAGAATAATCGGTCCCTAGCTGCCGTGCTATCCGAAGGAAGCACGAGGGCTGAGACAGTGCCAGGCTACCCAACCGTACAAGGAGCAGTCGAGATGCACACGTTGGGTTCGAAACATGGACCGTCCGGTCGGTAATTTCGCATCTTAACCACTCAGCTGTCTAGGATCGTGATGTGATGTGAGACAAGCCTAGTGGTCCGGCGAAACTAATTCGGGTGGCAGGTAATGAAATATAAGAAGTCACATGGCTTTAGGTCCATCATGGGTTCCAGTAGAGGTTTAGGCAGTCCTCCAGTTTGTCACGTGTATCGGCGATTCTGTTCCTCATTAATATTGTATTCACTTGGTCCAAAATAACTTACACTGGATTCTTAATGGAAAACTCTATTTGGGTACAACAAATCTGTGGCGTTCTACGTCTGAACAACGCCACAAGGGGAATTACGAAATGGTCGCCAATGGATAAAAAAGTTTACGACACTTACCAAGGTCATTCAGCGTCAACTTTTCGCTCACTGCACGACCAATGGTAATGTGGGTTAGCTCGTTTCGTAGGTTTTGTAGCTCTTCGTTCTTTTTGCGTAGCTCATACTCCAACACTATTTACGACGCATAAGACTACCAAACAACAAATAAGGTTATACCTTTCAACTTTTCCTCCAGACTGTTTCCGTCATCCGATATCCGACCCATATCAATAGAGTCCAAGGTGGAAATGCTATGACAGTGAGCTAACCGGGAAGGAGAATGAGGTGGAGGGTTAGGCTAAGAGGTAATCACCTACCAATACCATAAATTGCTTCATCTTTCAACGAGGAAGTAAATTGCTCGAAGTAACTGGCGTCCGAGAAGAAACGGTGGAGGGTTGGAATACGCCTGCCACGATCAAGCCATTCAAAGTAATACTCTAGGGCAGACAAATGTAGCTTCTCCTTTAAAAGATAGTCAGCAACATCCTCGGCACTGATACATGAGTCCTTCAAGCCATTCTTGAAACAACCATTTTCAGATGAACGAGGCGACGCCGAAGTATCGCAACGAAGTTCGCCCATGATTTAGCATGACAACAACAAAATCCTCACTGAGGTGAGCTGAAATAAGGAATTCTGAGTGAGCACCGGAGAGGCATAAGGTGTTGCGTAATGGCCAATTAGTTAGTCAATTAGTTACTCAGCTAGAAATAAAGCATGACGGGTCTGACTACAATGAGTTTATTTGCCAATGACAGGAATGGGATAATGATAACTATGCACTGAAAGCAACAGCTGCAAGTATTCGGTGTACACGGCGCAGGTCAAAACAATTTGTTGAATCAATGGTATCATCAACAACATTATCAAAGACAGTGACAAGTTTCGATACGGATGCTTCACGGCCGTACAACCGCAGAGTTCATCTAACTATATTTAAAGCATTAGAGTGAAAAGAAGAGGAAATAGTGGTTGGGGGGAGGGGACAAGATGCTGGCCTATTACAAGCATTATGAAGTACCCGGACCTCCAAACAACTATCAGACAATCTGGAGACACCACGGACACAAACTGACATCAATGAGTCACCATTTCTTGTAATGTCTTCAGCAAAGCGCAGAAGGGGTCACAGCGGCTCCATCCTGGGAGACCAGACGAACCAACACCCAACCACTTCGGAATCTCTTCCACATCCTTCAGCTAAGTCATACGTAGCTTACCTCGTGATTTGCGCCATTCTGAAGGAGGGACAGAGAACAACACTCATCTCGATAGACGGTGTTTCGGTATGCGTAGCACGTGGCCGAGCCACTGTGGTTGATGCAGCTGGATGTTTTCCACGATTGAAGTACCGGCTGCACAAACAAACACCCGTTTTCTAATTACCTCGTTGCCAATTCGCTGATCCCATCCGACATTAGCTAAAGACTGAGGCGTTGGTTAGCGAAAACCTGGAGACGCCTCACAGCATCCGTATTCCGAGGACATGTCTCGCAACCATGCAACAATACCGTCTTTAATATAAACTCGTTACTGCCATTCTTTGGACTCGGTGATATGCCTTTTTACGCCACAAGTAAACCAACTTGGCTGACGTCATTCGGGCCTTTGACACCCGTGCACTGACTTCATCAGACTCAATTCCGTCAGAACTAATACAACTACCGAGGTATGCAAAAGTCTCCACAATTTCATTCTTCTCCTTGAATTCTAACGGGTGTGTTCAGAGGCTGCACATTCTGAAGCATGACTTTGCGCTTTAAATATGGAAGACATACGTCGATGGTATGATAGTGGTCAGTCCATTCAACAGAGCTTGTGCTTCGCTTTCGAAGATGAAGACCATGACATCTGTTTACTTTGGATCGACAAGTTTCTCACTGGCAACAAGTTGTGAAAACCTTCCATTGATCGGCTTAACACTTTACCAGTGACGAAGTCGAACAAGAATAGAGAGTGGATACTATTGCCGGACACCACTTTTTGTGGGGAAGCTTTTGCACAGCCCAGCATACACGCCCACACACCCAGAAGTATATGAATATTAGGACTGGATAATATACACCGATTCTTGAGGGTACATCCTTTTGAACAAGTGAAATTGACAACACTGGCAGGTCAACAGCATCGAAAATACCCTTGAAGTCAAGAAACACCAGGATTGTGGGTTGTCTGTATATATGTCGTTGCACTGAAGTCAGACGGAGTGGAAAGATGTGGTCGACGCAGCCTTTACCTGATTGAAGTCCCGCTTGACGCTCACGGGTCAAGGATTCACATACCGCCGCAACGCGAGGATGAACAGTGACGAGAGAATCCCCTTTAGAACGGGAGTCAGACCAACATCTGTGGTTATTGTATTAACTATGAGCGATCTTTTGAAAGTGGGCACTATTAGCGACATACTTCGATTATCTGGGACCGTCTTTTTCTCCTAGATAGACGTAAATAGGCTAAACATGCACTGCCTAAGGAATTCACCTCCTTTCTTGAACAGAGCAGGCGGAAGGTCGTCGGGGCCGGGAGTATAGGCTTGAGTATAGGCATACTCGCACACTTCTGCGGTTGAAGGGGGCTTCATATTCATAGTCATTGTCTGCTGAATGTCAGGATTTCAGATTGGAGGCGGCAGGTGGACAACTGGATTACTGTTCAAATTAGTGTGCCGAGCGTTCCAAACCTTCTCTTTTGCTGGATATCAGAGTCATTTTAGTCTTTGGTAGCTTCGCTGAACAGAGGCTCGGAGGATCAGCCAGAAGATTCAAGTGGAACAGACTGTAGATGTTTCGAGCATTCTTTTTTTAATTTTCCATTTCCACGAAGCTTCTTAGTCTGCACGGACAGTCATTTTACTTGACGTCAGAAGATGCATCGGGTTAAGTTGTCATTGCGGCCAGGGGGATCTGTCTCCGAACACCCATCACGACCACGGTTCTATCAGAGATTCTGGTTCTGAGTAGCAGTGTGGAAATCCACTCCCAGTGGCCGAAAGTATCCAGCACTGGACCATCCGATAAACTTTTGAGCAGCCGGTTCTGACAGGTCCACTTGATTTATGGACCCACTAGCTTCTCAATGGCTAACGAAGTACGCGCGTTTTGGGGAAACCTGGAAAGTGCAATAAAAAGCATCAACGCGCAGGTGCATGGCCGGAATCAACGGTGGTATCTTGGGAGCGGCTGACCCTCATCACCGGTGACTGTGATTTGGTATATTTGGATTCGGGACTGGTCCGTTCGTGGGCACCAAGTAGTTAGATGATTTCCACTGTTCCGGAAATTGATGGTGTAAAGAAACAGTCTGTGGTCGGTACCTCATGTCCAATCCAAAACGACCACCCACTCGATCCCCACCGTGTTTGATATACCTGCTTGAGCGTTCATTTCACTAGCAAAAACGATGTATGAGCTTCTAGCGGGTTGTTAGAGAGAATCTAGAGCGTCGTAGAAACTCCAGCACGTTCAGAGCTAGTAAGCCGGTACGTAGGCAGACACAACAGTGTGATCGGCCTCACTTTCCGAGATTCTTTCATGGACGTTACCGAACGAAACACCAAGGGGCGACTATCAAAGGGGATCCAGTCAAGTAGAGACACCTCCACCTGATCGCTCAAAACCATACCCACCCTGGTATACCCGAAAACAGCAACCTTCGCATCACTAGGGAGTGCGCATCCGAAATCTGAAAGGGAGCAAGCAATCAGTTCAATTACAGTACTTGCGTCTTCTATCCTTGTTTCTGACAGACAACATACACCAATGTACAGGGGATCCAGCGCACGAGAAAGAGCCACCGGTTCTACTGCTTGCTTCAGTGTGTGAACATTAAAGGCACCTAAGCAGACCGAACTGAATGGTTTGAAAACGGACTTCGAAGCGTTTGGGGTTGTTACTGAATTCGGACTTACAGAAGCTGCAGCTGAGTGCGATGCACGGTGAACAAAGCTATCAATCCTAGTGCCGGGACCTGCAGGGCAAGTATTCAAATTGGGTTGGGGTAGGGTGGGAGAATGTGAAAGTGCAAGAAAGAAGGGGTTAGAGGTTTTCGTTTACCCGCCTTACTGTATGCGGCAAGTAAGGCGACCCGACTAGTGACACCACGCGATGACCGATGTGGAAGGAGATTATAGTTAGTTGTAGGTAAATAAAATAATAAATAATTGCTCAGCTGTAACACTCTTCCGGTGTCTAGCTGCCAAGCCACCAGAAGGAAGGTTGTAGGTGCCACAGCGGTATAACCAGGGCGTCCAGATCTAGAGGGAACGGTTAGGGTCGTTGATCAAAGATTTTGGCCCCAAAGCCTGACCGCAAGATAGCGGTGTCTGGCAGGAGATATAAGTGTATTACCATTTTATGGAACAAGCCACCACACGTTCTAACCCCAGCCATGGAGGGACGCAAGACAATGTTGGTTAGGTCAGCTGTTAACCAACCTGGCATGGAACGCTGTGTTGCGCGGATGCCGCCCAGTATAGCACAAAAGGAGGCACACAAGCCATCACACCACGGTAGGGTCCAAGCTGTTCGGATCATTGGAGGAAAACCCAAATAGTGAGAGATACAGCCCGCCTCTGGGAATGTGATTGGTAACATGGGTGCAACAGGGCCTCCAGACTTCTTTTAAACTAAACTTTGCCGTCCTCCCGTCCCTAATAGAAGGAGCAACAGCTACCAGCTACCAGTTTCTGATCCACACTTAAGTTCACCATTGTCGGAGCACTATATCCCTCACATTCGGCACAAACTGAACGTGCGGGGAAAGGAGATGCATACAAAATATTCTGTATGGTCTGTAAGGTACGAATTGCTGATCGATCGAGAGTGGGTCGTTCCTTCCGAAAGCATGACCAGACCAGGAAAAGGTTTTGATACACCGATTGGCAATTACTGCGAGTTTAAGGGAAAACCTCCTCCAGTTTCTGATCCACACAACAGGGACAGGAACGGGGAACCAACGAGTGACCCAGTAATGATGTGTGAAGTCTACAGAGGACATTATGCAGGTCTACATTAAGCCCCAGCGTCCCCGTCACGTCCAATCCTGTCAAGGCATAACTACGAACGGTCTCTAACCGACTTGGTCTTCACGGTGGAGGACATTCCTCAACTCTTGTGTAAGATCGACCCATTTTGCGCGTTGGGGCCCGACGTAGTCCATCCAAGGATCCTGAAGGAAATGTCGTTTACAACAGCAAATCATTTCCACCCGATGTTTCGTCAGTCACTTGATGAAGTCCACCCTCCCTCTGCTTAGAAGGAAGCGATTGTCACGCTAATCTACAAAACTGGTGACCGACTATCGCCTGGCAGCTACGGGTCTAGAAGCTTCAGAAGCGTGCCGTGCAAGGTGATGCAAGGCATTTTGACGCGCGCCATCCCAGATCACCTCACTTTCAACAACTTAATATCTCCAGTTCAACATAGATTTCTTCAAAAGTTCTTGCGTGACGAGCATGCTCGTATTTATGGATAGCTTAACCCAGGCCAAGGACGAAGGGACCATATCGGGTGCCATATTTTTCGACTTCTTAAAAGCACATCCTGCTGCTCCATAAACGCGAGTCGTACGGGATTTCACGAAAAATCCTTCACTGGATCAAGGCGTTCCTATCGGACAGATCATTCCGAGTGGAAGTATGCTCGACCTACTCTTCTGCAGCGCTGGTCTCCATTGGAGTTTCTCAAGAATCCGTTTTGGGACCACTGCTGTTTCTGATCTACGTCAACGACCTTCCAGATGTTCTTGCAAGTCTGTCTACTTTTCGCAGATGACTCGAAATCCTGAAGTTCCAATGCACTCCAAATGGAAGTTGACACTGCAAGAGTGGTCATTGGACTGGCATCTTCCTCCGAATTTCGTAGTGTGTCCATATGTTATTTGTAGGAGACTCAGCGAATGCCTTTGTCATGCATGGTGAGAGAGGACCGGAAGATATCACGAGGATAGACGCGAAAAAGGACTTCGGTATCTCGATCTTTCTTCCTTCTTACTGTCCTTCTTACTGTACCATGAGAAATCGGCCCAAAAGGCATTCGCCGTTCTACGGATGATTCGGCGCACATTCTCCCGTATTACTCGCATGGACTTCCGAATCCGCTTATGGAGTCCACATCAGACCGCTCGTTGAATATGCCAACGGAGTTGTCTTTTCAGGACGCAAGAAAGAAGTAGCTCTCGCTAAACGCGTCCAGCGAAATGCTACGAAAATGGTTGCAGGCCTTAAGTCCGGCAACGTGGTGGTCTTGTGGTGCTTCAACTCTTTCCCCGTCGCCTCCGATGGAACCCAATCCTTACTTATGCTCTGTTTGAACAAGTCTTGGCCAACAGGTTTTTCATCGTTGACCCAGCAAACGCGGCGGGGATATGGTAAGATCTTCAAGCCCAGAGGGCACACTTTCATTAGGTAAATTTTTTAGCATTTCGGGTAGGAGCTGCGTGGAATGACCTTCCTCCGGCGGTGTCTAGGCTTTCAAAGCACTATTATACACTTATTTATGCGAGTCCTCACGCTGGTAAGCATACTGCCCCGCGCTGAGAACTTAAGGAGCAGTTCTACACCCTTTTTACACTTGTGCCTTTCAGGTGAGCGGCAAACGCTAAACGACAAGAATAAAACCAACCCGAGAAACTTGAGCGAAAGCCTCGATCTTGTGCATCGATCCGTGAATCCGTGAATCTGAACGTAAACGGGTGCACCAATAAGGCGGTACTCTGGTAAATCATCAACACAATTGTCGCGTGGACAGCGCTGTCTGTGGACAGGATGATAAGGCACAGACAGAAAGGTTAAGACGGCGCCACAGACACCAGAATTAGGCGAAAGTAGCTTCAGTACTTCGCATTTTTGGAGCGAATCTGTTACTCGTCGATCAATCGAAACTAGTTCATATCAAAGTGTCAAGTTCTTCGAGTACATTAACATATAGTAATGAAGTTTGCCGTGCACGCAATTTGGATGGATTGATGAGTGACAGAGTCCCTCCAATCAGAGGTGCTTGACCAGTCCTGCGGGCCGAGTCCTAATTCGAGTTAGACCCCATCCATTCCCGCATTAGCGCTTCACATAAGCATGTACAACCTCTTGCAGCAATTATTGGGGCCAACCCTTATGAAATAGGAATTTCATTCCTAAGGCCACGGGGACGGACTCCGGCGACTCACGGATTGATACACAGGATCGAGGCTTTCACCCAAGTTTACGCGTCGGTTTTGTTCTTGTCGTCCAGCGGCCACCGTTCACCATGCACTGATATACACGGCAGAGAACCATTTGGGGGAAAATGTTGTATCTTATGACTCTTATATTGCTGCTTAGCTCGTTGTTCTACCCAGTATGGTGTGCAAAATGCCACAGTGGCTTGATACATCCATTATGGATTCACGGATTAGTACACAGGATCCAGGCTTTTGCCCAAGTTTCCCGGGTCGGTTTTGTTCTGGTCGTTCAGCGGCTGTCGTTCACCTGAAAGGCCTAAGTGAAAAAAGGATGTAGCACTGCACTTTACCTAATGAATGTGTGAGCTCTGAGCTTGAAGATCTTCTTACTATGTCCCCGCCATGTGTTTGCCGGGTTAACGGTGAAAAACCTGTTGGCCAAGCCTTGCATAAGTAAGGATTAGGTCCCCTTGGAGGCGACGATACTCCAGGGGATGGAGATCAGGCATCGCGAGACGCGTTTCGTAGTCCACGGATTTGAGGCCAGCAACCATTCTCGTAGCGGCTCTCTGGAAACGCTCAGTGGGGGTGACGTTTTTCGTGCGTCCTGAGTAGAAAACTTGGTTGGCGTACTCCAGGAGCGGTGATGTAGACCCCATAGAGTATTTGGAAGTCCATGCGAGTGATACGGGAGAAAATGAGTTGGATCATCCGTAAAACGGCGAATGCCTTTTGGGCCGATTTCTCATGGTGCAGTGAGAAGGACAAGTTTGAGGAGACCCAGATATCCAAATCCTTTCTGGCGTCTGTCCTCATGATGTTTTCTGGTCCTTTCTCACCATGCATAATAAAGGTATTCGCTGAGTCTCCTCCAAATGACATATGGACGCACTTTTCGTCATTCAGAGGAAGGTGCCAGTCCAACGACCACCGCTTTGCAGCGTCTATATCGGAAAGCAACGGATATACAGGGTTAACCCAGAAAAACGCACGCGTTGACACAGCAAGCAGGATGCACAGATAGGAAGGCAGAACGACCGCGGTGGATTCACCGCGAGGAACACGTGTATTCGACGACCGAAACCGAAAGTGTACGGACATACCCAAAGCTCAGGGCCATATAAAAGGGTTTGCAATCGGGATACTCCTTGTATGGGACTTGTCGCGGAAACAGTCCATTTTCAATTGCGCCTTAAGGTTACCACCGAATTTCCTCAAGGTCGAGCCTGGATGGCCAACACTGCGAAAAGTACGGCAGTGGAGGCACACGATTCTGATTGGTGCATATTTTCACAAATAGCTTCGCAGCTCTCTCTATCTCATTGATCATGGAAATCCATGTAAAAGGTTGCGCACTGCAACTGAAACGTCGGAAGCTTACATCAGCACATTGCTTTTTTACTATAAGTTTTCCTATAAGCCTTACAATAAGCTTTCTTTTGGTCGTCCGATGTCTTGCAACGCATCCGTCCGGTGGACGAGCTGGTTGTTTGTTTGTCTGCCCGCATTCTGGTAGCTTGGGAGACTGCTGAGTCAGTGAAGGTGTTGACCTGTTGTCTATTCTGATAGCTGTCTGCGCCACTGACATGGTGGCATGTTAGGTATGTAGCACTTGTAAACTGCTCTTTTTCATGCGCAGTATCATCCTTTTTCCCATCATTATCAGTCACATCGCTGTACAAACGTTTTTCTACTGAAACACAACCGCTGCCGCCCGTTTGTTGGCTCCAACGTGACTTTGAGACTTTTGCTGAGTGACTGTTGTTGTGACCGCCGGTTGGCTATATTTGACCGCTGATAACACTAAACGTGAACAAACATTTCAGCTGCAAACACTGGACTAATATATTCACACTTGTGGATTAATATTCCGATCACCGGAGATGTGGAATATCAGAAAGATAGAACTATACTTGGTGTGGTGGCTCAACGGAATACGGAACTACGGAATCTCCTATTTTGAACTGAATCAAGATTTACTCGGATTTTTCTCCTTGTGACTTTGTATCTGGCTTACATTATTAGTTTGTTCAGTTCACTAGAGACTCCATAGGGCCGTTAACCAGTACAGGTATGTCCGGTATTGCTTGTGACATGGGGGCGTCGGTTGTCTCTTTGACGGGCTATGGTCTGGCGCGACGAAGGTTGGCATGAACTTCCTGCGGATGAGATCTGGCCTTCTGTGCGTACTTGGCGTATGTGATCCGCGTTTACCATTGATCTTCGCAACCTGACCTATATGATGTTGCTGCGCTGTTCCGTCTGCTGGTCATCCAGTGACTATGGGTAACATTGTAAAGCTCTGCCTCAACACGCGGCTGGTAATTAATTAAACAAATGTATGGTTAGTGCTTTTTTGCCGCATCGTCGTGTATTCAGAAACCCCAAAAATATCGCGAGATTTCCTCTCTTTGGTCCCCAAATCAGTCATATCATCTCTCTTTATTCTATCTCCTCGGAGAAAACGCACGATGCCTCAAGTCGGCCGCTCATTATTCACAAAACGGAACTGATTTCTCGAAAGCCACAACATATTCAGGGCTGCCACTTCATAGTGTGGTATGGCTGCTGAATTATTGTGTAAAGTATCTGCATGGGCGATTTGTTTCAGTGAGAGAATGTTCAAGGTCGCCAAACACCAACGACTGCGAGCACCTTGCGAATTGTGCAAAAAGGCAAATCAGTAACAATGGACGGAACTTGCAGAGAAATTGACACCTGAAATAATTCGCAAAACCTATCTAGGGGCGACATGACCCTTGTGGATGAAAAATGTGCGGGGGTGCCCTCCTGTGCTCGATAATTGCTATAAGGAGTTTAAATAGGGAAATCCACACTCATCTTCGCCAGGAAAAATTTGGCAAAGTTGTTATTGTTGGAGTGTTCTGTTTTAACCTGCAGAATATCCCGGGATGACCATAACGTTGCTGACAGTGGACAGCTCAGCAAACCTAGCTGGCGCACAACACAAACATGCGACTTACGGTCCGCGATGCCCGATCATCTGGCCAAAGCCAATACATTCATTTCTATTGGGTAAAGTCTAAATTGGACGACATTAAGAGCCGCATTTTATTAGTCGTTTCGATGAGCACATATGTCATGCCGGGAAGCGGTTGAGCTTCTTCCTGCTTCTTCTTCTTCGTCATTAGGTCAATGACCTAAAATGAAGGGAAGATATAAGTAAGGTTACCGAAATATCACATCGAGGCAGATGCCTGAAAACTGAGAGCAATACTTACTCTACAGGGGAGCAATTTAGCAGCAGCTGTTAATGCTCTAAACGAACCCGAAAACTAGTTGTATGAACGAGAAAACGGAGAGCACTAACAATGTCTATTTGTTGAGTAAAATTATTACAACAGGTATATATGCAAACAAGGGACTTATCGTTTTGGAGGTACAGTTTGATAAATCCTGTTGTGAGTCCGGATGCAGGTTTCGTGTCTTCTTCACTGTTGTAACAGCCACACGTAGTC